GTCCGGCAGGGAACACTGGGCGTGGATGGTCGTGGTTGAGGTCCGGCGAGGAGGAGAAGAAGGAGGTGGAGGAGGAGAAGGAGAAGTCAGCTAACATAAAATCTAACAACCCTCACCTGGCTGGTGAGGAAAGACACATTCTACTGGTTCCTGTAAAAAGATCCCTTTTTGAAGGGTTTGGTGGGTTTTCGGTGCCATGAGGAAACCGGCCGTATATGATCGACAGAACTGCAATGCCCACATCCGACAACCCTCCCCTCCCACTTCCTGGCTCGCTCGCTTCATCCTGCGTCCCGCACGCAGGATTGCGTGTGCAAGGCCAATGCGATTGAGACGACTCACGGTCATTGCGTCGCCTGTAGTGTGGGCCTTTGGTGCCCCCTGGGCAGCACCGTGACGTTGCTCCAAAGTGCCAATGGCACCGATCCAAGTGGGCCTCATGTGGAAGCAGGTGGCTTGGAGTGAGCAGTAGCGAGTGGCGAGTGGCTAAGGCTTCCGTGTCACGGTGTGTTTTTGTTTTGCGAGGAAGTGAGTAACAGTGAGTGTTGGTGGTCTGCAGTTATGACCGGACATTGGTCTGTTGAAGGGGGTGACATTGTTGTGAAAATCCAGCAGGATACCTTCTACGCTAGACTATAGTGGTACATATATTGGAGAGTTCGTCACCTTTGACTTCTGCATGTAATTTAGGATCATGATCAGTTCATCATCATCCAGTTGATCCTCTTGAAATGCGCAAGGTCGTGGCCGACTTCGCCCGAAATCGGCCTCCAGCCTTCCCACACAGATGGTGGGAACCGTGCCATGGTTCCGTGCCGCTTGGGTCCACGCGCCCCGCCCCGCCGACGAGGCTATAAGGCGGACGCTGAGAACCCGCTGGAGGTCTACAAGTGCACGGACCTCGCTTGTCCAGGCCCGCCTCGGTCGCCTCGTTGGACCGTTCCGTTGAACCGTTTTGGTGATTGTATTATATACCAGCTGCTTCCAACGGGTCACCAGACAACCTTACCCTACTTATAGAATCTTATAGATCTCCATTGGGCACCCATTGGAAGTGCTAGGTATATATAAAATTTATACGTTGTTTTTTGAATCCCATATATTACAAAGTTCCGTTGACTTGGCTTGGGGCTCATGGCTTGGGGCTCAGCTTTTGCGCGTTCGGAAGATGGTTTTCCAAACACCTGCAACTTGATCGATACGCCTCCGGTCCGGCACCTGCTAGTTCCCACGACAAGACCAGATGGAACCCCACATCCTCAGGCAGGTTGTGTTCTTTTGTCATCAGATCCCTCGATCCTTGATCCCCCAAACCACGTCCATCGTCGGTATTCAAAAAAGGTGATCCCAATCGTGAAGCCCTATGGATCCACCGAACCAGGTCGGTACGGTGAGGACGGAGACTATTGATGTAGGCGGTCTTGGAGGGTCCAAGGACGCCTTCTGAGGTACGGTGGCAGTGGATCCGTAGTGAAGGACAACAAAAACACATCACACCCAGACACTCCATATGGGACTGCCATATTATACCGATCAGGTCAGGCGTGCTGGTTTGGGGGTTCAATGCTATATATTCCACCTCTTTTGAGGCGACGCACCGGACACTGACGCACCGGCAACGGGGCCACTGGAAAAAGGCGCAACCTCGGCGGGCCCCTTTTGGACGACTGAAAGGGATATGAAGGGATCTCGGATGCCTAAGCAGCTGATGATGGAGTTCGTTCATTCGAATGGTCGGTGGATGGACTGAAAGCTAAGAAGAGCCACGTTCTCGCTTGTCGTTGGAGCTCTGTGCTGTTCCACTCGAAGTGCTTCATCTTCTGCTCCTGCTGGTCATCTGAAAAACCTGAAAACCTGGTCCCAGGTGGAGCGCCGGGCACGTGCAATGGCGGCCTCGAGGGACTGGCCTGTGGCAACTGTGCTTCAGGACCGAGGCGAAGCACTATGGGCGCCCTGGCGCCCTTCTCGGCTGCGGTACATGGGCACGCACAACCCCCTTGGGCTCGAACCGAACACCTCACAACCCCTTCTGGCTGCGGAAAACACCTGGGCACGCACCAGCAAGCCCTAGATATATAGGGCTCAGAACGTCCCATCGACCGACCTGACCGGTGGTCTTCGCCCCTTCCCCCTGGCGATTACAGGAGCCCCAGGGAACTGTACAAAAACAGTGACCTTTGTCCGCCAATTGTACATTGAGCACCTTTTTGTTTGCATGAAAGCTACCACTTGGAATTGCTATGATATTGTTTTTCAAGCTTTTGTATTCAGATTTGTTGAAAAAAGATGAGATGTTTGTTTCAAAAATGCTCCACTGGACCTCAACTGGAAGGGTTCTGGTAATGGGTATTTCAATGTATTATATATAGATTATTTACTTGCCGAGGCAAGCTGTGATCCGTTGATTTCCTCCGCCGTCCTTGTGTGTTCTGGGGGGTCCCAGTGTTCAGCGACTCTGCCAACGACTTCCAAGGCTCATCAGCTGCTTCGAAAACCGCCTGGCTGAACGACCCTACACTACTACTTCTATCATACTTTGATATAATTTGATTAGTTGGTCTCCATCTCGGACAACCCGAGGAACAGAAACCCGTGGGGTTTTTTCGTACACTTGGAAGACACTTTACGAACAGAGATTGTGTCCATTGTGAGTTCCCTATAGCCTTCCAGGACTAAAGAATGGGACAGACCTGGTTTAATTCCGTCACCACCTGCCACTTTGGGTCGTCTCCACCCCACCAGACTTTGGGTCGTCCTCCACCAGACGAGTCGGGTATATACGCCCTGTGGGAGCGGATCCAGATCCGCTCTCCGGTGGATCCACAAAGCTCGTGCATCAAGAACCTGGAGCGAACGAACACCTGTAGACCTCCCAGACAATGGCCTCCTGGAAGAAGGACACATAAACCAAAACAACACATAAATTGGATGTGCCCCCATTACAAAATTGCAAACACCAACAAAAACATCACATGCCGGATGTGATTAGGACCACATGTTCGGTGTCCCCAAATTCGTGATTCAACACATAAGTGATTCAACACACCCGCCCGCCATCACCCGCCCACCGCTCGGTCCGAGAGGATTCTATTTTTGGTCCGAGACGTGCCAACGCTGTGGCCTGGGCGCTCCGGTGGCCTGGACCATCGTCTCCATCCTCTTGGCCATCGGTGCCGGCCTCGGGCGCAGAGCGGTGGGACGAGCGGCCATATCGATTCAAAAAAGCAACTGGTCATCCTACTACAGTTGAAGGAATAGCGAGATGCCCCCAGCAGCTGAGATTTCCTAAAACCACTTGGGTGTGTATCAACATAGGAAGACCTCCCAAAGACCTCACGTAGACCAAGACCCGTTTGGTGGTTTCCCTGTTAAAATACACACCCGTGTTTGTTGGTAAAAATCATGTTTTGAACTGCCCGGCTGAAACTAGCATAGAGTGTGAGGAGGCTGGCGTGAAATCAAATCCAACATAATGAAAGATGATTGAAGAGCCTGCACTTGACCCGGACATACATCACCCAGACAGTAGACGTCGCATCGCGGTAGACATACTGCCCGTTAAGCGAAGGCAAATGGTTTGAGGTGTTCGACACTTGGTGGTGGGTCTCTTTGGATCCACTGGCACATACTGGCACTTACAGTCTTCCAGTCTTCGATGATGGTATACAACGAGTTTTAGGACTCACTTAGAGCCTTGACAATGGCAGCATATTTGTAGAGATCCTGATGGTTGAGGTCCTTTCCATGTAATATTTTGAGGAACTCATATGGTTTTTAAGATTGGCCAGGGGTAGTCAACATGGATTTGTGTTGGAATTCCGGGCTCTCACTGAACATTCAAAGCTGTTCTTGACAAACCTCCAGCTTGAAGGGGCAGCTGACATTGAAGAGGCAGCTGTGTCCGTATTTATTTTTTGGACCCGCTTGGGCAGGTCATGCGCACATTGATATGTGCAACCCCCAAAAAACACTGGTCCCACCCAAACCATGCCATAGATCAAGTCAGTATCACACCCTTAACCCAGATTAGTCACTATCCAAATCTCCTGACATCTTATGCCAAGCACTCCGATGCTAGGAATGTATGCCTACATTGACCCCTGTCAACCACCCCAAATGCAGCAGCCTCACAGGTATTTTCATCTCCTACTACCCCTTGTCCTTCCCCTATGTCGCGAAAGCCAGCGCCTTCTTTTCGGCCACCGCATCCTTTGGCATTCTGTCGCTCGGCAGAAACAGTGCTTCCTGCGACGCATGCGATGCTTCCTGTCCCGGAAATCCCCCTTTTTCATGTTCATATAGAAGAAAGGTACACCCCTCAGGCCCGCAGCAACTGACATTGGTGAAACGATGTGTGGAACGATGTGAAAAGCAACAACAGATCGATGATGACATTCGATTGTTTGATCGTCCTCACTTGTTCCGCATGTTGAAGTACATCATCTACAGTACTCGATAGGGGTGAGAGTCACAGTGGGTTGCCAATCAGATTTCAGTGGTGGTTGATTTCAGGGGTCTTTCTTGGGGCAGTGTGGTCCAAAACCCGTCCCAGACAGGTGGTGGTCACGGTCACTGCGCGGCAACAGAATCGTTGTTGCTTCTCCCCTTTCAATCTCAGTTTTCCGGTGATTTCCCTTCTGGTGAATAATGTTGACATAGGATTTTGTAACCCCCTTATTACCAAGCCCAGCTCGAGCCCCCAATAATTGACTAAGTGTTAAAAACACACACACAATCCGGTGATTCCCCTTGTAGGGAATATGTTTTCTTTTTTTCGCCGGTTCCTGATGATTTGCACATGCAAGCTTTCAATCTCCCTCCCAAAACCACCCAAACTCTCGATCGCAGCGACGCTGGCAAACTTTCGTTTGAACGGAGGGACGAGGACGAGGTGCCGTTTTGATCTGCCGAAGAGACAACAACAACAACAACAACAACAACCACAACAACAACAACAACAACAAGCCGCACAACATGCACAAACACACACACACACACACTTAGATCCATGCTCGCAAGAGCTATATCAGCTGGTGAACTCCAGTGTTACTGCAAGTAGACCTTGGGGCTGAGGGCACGGACAGGTGGCTGAGTCCGCGACAAGTTTGAACAAGGCACATTGGCACTTAAAATTGGAGTGGACACCGTTGTCAACAGTTCCAACCGGGAGAAAGGTGGTCACCAGCTGCGACACAATAAAGCGCCCAGATGCCCCATGTTTGGGTACGTTTACCTGATCGTGCCGAGCTTCGTTGGCAGAGGCCACAACTGGAGATCCCTCTGCCCCCTGCTTTAAAGTTGCAATACTGTGGTCGTGCTCCTTGGAGACAGGAGTTGACACACACACACACACACTTAGATTGAGGCTCGCAAGAGCTAAATCAGTTAAGGCAATCCACTCTCGTGAGTACAATACCGGTTTAGAGCGCTGCCTGAAACCTGAGAAACAGCCCTGAGGGAACGGCAAGGTGAAGATGTCGGCAACAATATTTGTTTACATCATTAGAGTCTGCAGGTACGTCATCGGGCGTCCCTGATGATATCCTAGGATCATGTGAGGAGCTGCGTTGGATGGAGCCTCACATGTCCTCTCCATCCCCCTGCTTCGAAAGTGGCCAACCACCAGTGGTGAATTATTCAGTGCAGGTTCCTTGGAAACAGGTGTGGACACACACAAGAAGCCGGAACGGCGCGCCCCTTAGGGAGGGGGGGGTGTGAAGGGGGTGTGGGAGTGCGCTGACTAAACGAGCCTGGATGACCACCTAAAAAGCCTGAGAGAAAGAACAAGACAAACAAAAAGGCAAGAAAAGAAGAGAAAGGTGCAAGGGAGCCTAAACGCCGACCTAACAAGCCTGAAGGAAAGCCCAGACAAACGAAAAAAGGCAAAGAAAGAAAAGGTGCAGGGGGTGTAGGGTGGGGTTGGGGTGGAAGGCTTGGCAAATTCTCATGCATGGGTCATGCACTGGCCCGAAGGCGCTGGCAAAAGAAGCCGTAATCGGCGCTCGCTTGACTCAAAAAGCCTCAGTTACACCTAAAAAGCATCTAGAAAACGAAAAAAGACCTAGAAAACGAAAAGCAACAGCAGGAAAGAAAAACCCAAAGGACATGTGAATACTTAGCCGCATGAGAATACTTAGCCGCATGAACGGTTCCGTGCTGGAGTTTGATCTCAGTATGCCCTGCGGCGTGTGATCAGCTGTTTCGAGCGGAGCCGGGGATCAGGTAGGGGGGCGCGAGAAAAGGATCAGGTGAAGGACAAGGGACCATGAAGGATCACCCTTAAGGGTATGTGCACATGCTGCGCCCCTGGCTGGGGATCACACCACAGACCTCAGTGGGACCCTGTGGCGATACACACTTAGATTGAGGCTCGCAAGAGCTAAATCAGTTAAGGCAATCCACTCTAGTGAGTACAATACCGGTTTAGAGCGCTGCCTGAAACCTGAGAAACAGCCCTGAGAGGGAACGGCAAGGTGAAGAAGTCGGCAACAATATTGTTTACATCATTGGAGTCTGCAGGTACATCATCAGGCGTCCCTGATGATATCCTAGGATCAAGTGAGGAGCTTCGTTGGATGGAGCCTCACATGTCCTCTCCATCCCCCTGCTTCGAAAGTGGCCAACCACCAGTGGTGAATTATTCAGTGCAGATTCCTTAGAAACAGGTGTGGGCACACACACACACGCAGACACAGACGGGTGCATGTGTTTTCTTCGGAAAGCAAAAGCTGGCCGAAAGATCAGAACTAGGTTCGGCTTGCTGCAGAACTTGGGGGTCTTGAGCACCGCCTTGACCTGGGAAAACGGCAGCAATCCGCTGCTGCGCTTTGCCTCGATCTTCGCAGCTGGGATCGAAAGAACAAGCTGGGGGGTGGTGGGCAGATGCAGACCAAAACACCGAAACGCGCGCTTGCACTCTTGTTGTTGTATTTTTATTTTTTTGTGTGTGTTTTTGTTGGGGGGGTGGGAGAAGCACTGAATGGAAAAAGACTCAGGAATGCATGGCAGCATGCCGATGCACGTTTGCAGCATGTGGGAATGGGAATCCAGTCTAGAGTCTAGTGACTTTCCCTGTTTCGGGATGTGTTGTGATGTTTCAGGACATTTCGTATGTGTTTTTTGTTTTTTGGGCTCCAGGATGCTCCAGGTTTCCTTTACAAGTCCAGTTGTTTTTCCAGGATTGATCATACTCTGCCAGAGTGGGATTGACCCAAACATGGCGCCTTAAACATCCCAGCGTCAGATCCGGATGGAGAGATTATGTCCATGTTCATTGGGGACATTTAAGCAGGGGCTTAGTAGTTTGACCCATGGACAAGGTTAAATTCCCATAAATTCCCTATATTCCCTATTGTATCCATGGATCCATCATTTTAGAATGTGAGCTCTTCGCAGGGAGCGAATCCCTTATAGGGAGTGAAGAAGTCCTTAGACTGCACGACGGTGTCGGCGCATCAATATCAAGTCCTTTGGAGTTTTTGTTCACTCAGAACATGATTTGCCAACGAACATGGGTGGCCAATGGAACCGGGAGGCTTCGTTTATATAATATAATTCCTCTCTTTTGTGGCCTATGATGGAACACGGCCAAATTGATGGATGCAAATGATCGAAACATCCAGACAAGACTCCATGTTCCAAAATATGCATGTGACGATTAGAGAGACCTGTGACCTGTGACCTTCCATTTTCGCTACAGTTTCTTCAAATCTCATTTTAGGATACTCTCTTGAGTACAGTTCGGTGTTTTGACTCCTATTGTTGCTTCTTCCATCTTCTTCCGTATCTTCAACTAGAGTTCAGGTCCCAAGTTTTGTGTGGCTTGGTTGTGTGTGTGTTCTTTTAATTCGCGTCTTCGTCCCAAAGTCACGTGTTCATCAAACCGGGTGTGCACTCCGTGCGCCTCGAACTGCGAGTGTGTGCGGAGTGCGAGTTCTGCCAGGTCTTTGACCTGAATGGCTTTGGTTTCAGCTGTGCGGCGGAAGGCAATGCCAAGCCGTACAGCCGCTTGGACCGCTGTAGCGGGGACCGAGCAGTTCCGGGATAAACGGATAAAGCCCCCTCACCGGACTCGTGAGCCCTGAAGAAGCAGGTGCCATGTTCAAGCAGTTGTTTTTGGGCTTTTTGGCTTTGAAGATCGAAGTAAGCATACCAGGACCCTCCTGTCGGGGTGCCCTGTCTGGAAGCCTATAGGTAGTGTGGGGTAGTCCAGCCAGGACACCCCGAAGGTCGGAGGGTCCTGGTATTCATCATGTTTTTGTTCGCACCTATGGAGTTGTGGTGTCTTGTTTGGGAAGATGAACTGGCGGAATTGGAGTTTCAGTGTCCGGGGAAGATGAACCATGTAAGGAAAACCAGCTTATAACGGGTGTCCGATGCAGCTGCAGCGCTTGGGAACGCCGGAACCAAAGGTGCTGAATGTGTTTGTCATGATTGGACCACAGCTGTTCGTCACAGCCTATAAGGTATACATCCATGATCCAGCTTTTTCTGCACAACTGGCAGCTGGCAGAGTGGACTGGGGACTTTTCTGGGCAGATTCACTGAGCAACTTGTGTGTCAACTCTGCAGAGAGAACACCTGGTACTTAAGTCTCACCTAACGAGTCGACCGAGGTTTTTCAACCACCCACCACTGGCGGAAGGGTAGGACGTCTCCGGGAAGACTGGCTTTTTTACTCCAAACAGCCCAGTTCCAAACAGATCCCGACGCGCCTGGGATCCGAGGCATCATCGCGTCCTTTTTCTGGCTGGTGGTCCTCTTGCTTCCCATTTGCGCCTCAGCCTCCGTTTGCATCGCCAGCTTGGGACCCCCGTGTTGTTCCTGGAAACGGTGGGACCCTATGTCCCTTAGAAAAGGTATAATTTTCTAGAAACACACTATCTAGTGTGTTGATAGAGCCCCACCATTTTCTATAAAACTGCATCTTGGTCAGGATGACATAATCACATGTTTTTCCATACCACTTCCTAGAGGACATTCTATAGCTGTTTTAAGCTTGCAAATCGGACATGAACATAGGTATAAGATAATTTACTAGACGTTTGGCAAAAAACATACAACAAAAAACAAGGAAACCGCTTTCTAGAGACAGTTGCTTATTGCAAGATTGTGCAAGATCTTGCACTCTAGATCTCTCCAGAAATAGGTCGCTTCATGCCGCGTCCATGTGTTCCTTTTTTTTGAGTGCTGGACATCTCTAGGAAATGGTCATGTTCACGTGTTGCTAGCGATCAACGTTTGTCAAAAAAGAGCCTTGAAACAGAGATAAAGCCTTGATTTAATTTTTGCTTTTCTAGAATGACTAGCATGTTCTAGACAGCGTATTTACCTGGCCAAAACCATTTACTAGACAAAAGTGCATGCCCCATTTTTCTATTCATTCAATCAATTGTTAATCCAGGTTCACCTTGAAGTTCTAACTAGGTTTTATTTTTTGATTTCCTGGTCCACAAGCTTTTCTGGTTGATGCTTTCGTTTAGTCCTTTACAGCGTTTTACTTTTCAATCCGGCAATGACATGGAATGACTATCCCAGTCCAACCGGGAAGGATTTCAACCGCCCAGTCTGGTTCAGATATTCTTCTTCCACGGGTCCCACTGGCCTGGGGGGGGGGGGCCAGTCCCGGCCTGGTGCGGTCCGTTGTTCCACCATACCCGAAGAACGAGACGAGACTCCCGTGAGACCCAGTCCGTCCCACCCATCGGTCAGGTGCCATTTTGACCAACTACCTCCCCTGTTTGTCTCGCCGGGGCCTGGCCTGGGAAGCTATGAAGACGGTGAATGTCATTGGGCACTTTCTCCAGGCGCCTCTCGACTCTTTCCGCTCTTTCCACCGCCCCAGCCGAGCGCCCCAGCCGCGCTCCACCGGTGGTGGGTTTTCACACGGGGCCCGCCCTAGAGACATGGTGGAGTCGTTGGATGCCTCCGGAGTCGTCCGGACTGTCCGGTCTGGTCTACAGTCGCTACGTCCGGACTTCCGGCTTTCTGACCCACCGCCTGGGTTCGGTGGACTGGAAATCAATGGATTTGTTCTTCAGGTTTCACGGAGTTCGTTCGGTTTCACCATCTCTGTTCCGATCGAAACGGTGGAGTCAGGATCGAACCGGTCCTTTTTAACGTGCTGAAAATGCCGATTCGGTGGGAGTTGTCCTGCGGTTGTTCGTCCAAACAAGCATGGAACCAGGCTCCAGTGAAACCACTGGCGAGCCAACTCTGGGTCCACATTCTCTGAGAGTCCAAAGGACTCATTGTCCCGTTCGGGCTCCGGTCCCATCTCCTCAGGTCTTCAGGTTTGGTATTGGACCCCCCCCGGCATCCACCCCTGTCCCATCTTCGAAGCGGATGTGGGACAGGAGCCCTAGGGTTTACTAATGATAGTGGTGAATTATACCTTCCAGGTGAGGTAAAGTGAGTCAAAACGGAAGTTCTGGGATTGCTGGCACAGATATGTGGCTCCCTGTATAGCTAGGGTGTTGTTTCATTTTGAGATCTCCACCCTTTGATGTAACTGGGTGTCGCGATGTGTTGAAAGCCAAGCCTGACAGAGAACGGACCGGATGCCGACGGCTAGACCGAATGAGCAGATCGGTGAGTAGTTGGCCCCACTCACATGCCTGAAAGAATCTGATTTACCGATACCTGGAGTCACATGGAGTTGGGTGGTTTTTAGATGTTTTTAGTCTGAGTGGATAATGGGAACTCAGTTGGCAACCCCTATCCTCCAATGGGCACCCCTTTGTAACCCCTTTTGGTACCTGGATCTTCAAACAGCCCAATTTGTTGCTGGCATGCATGTTTCAGTCAAAGACGCCGTAATCGCAATACAGATGTCGCTGAAGTCCGAAACATGTGCCAAAAAGGATCAGCAACGATCCCATGAACCCCGGAAAAGACGTTCTTTGGGTGACCTTCTCACCCAAATATCTGGAAAAGAACACCGTTTGTCTCCCCACTAGTCACCCTTTCACTCATCTATCTGGGGCCCCGGTCCGACGGTCCAGATCTACTGGTTCTCACCGTCCACCGCCACGTCTGACGGTCGTTCTCCGTGTCACGGTCTGGGACCCTCGAGCCCGGTCCCGTAGGACCGACCGACCGGCGACGCCTCGTCCTGGCGTCAAGACCATGGTCCCCCTGTCTTACGGGGTGGTCTTCCACTTCCGGATGAGTCGGAGAGTCGGTAGGATGGACATGTCAATCCAAAGTCCCAGTCTCAAAGTACCTGGGAAAATGAGTGCAAATGATATATTGCCCTTTCTTAGGTACCCCCAACTCATGTCCATCATGTCCCCTGTTCTAAGATCGTTCCAAGCTACTTGATGAGTTCCTCCCTCCGGGTCCAGAACCGCTCCGTGCCGAAGCACGCTCCGCGCCGACGCGACCGTGGCAGGTGGCCACCACAACCATGAGCAGCGTGGCCTTGCTGCCCTTCATGTGCTACCAACATCCCTCTGGGAAGGAGCGACGAGTTGAGTTCATTCGCGACAAGGGGAACAGCGACGAGTAGTAGGCGACGAGGGGTAGTAGGCGACGTGTTAAGCGCCCCTGATGAAGCTGTAGCTGTAGGAAAGAACAGGAGAACAGCGACGCGACAGAGGGGAGGAGGGCGAGTTCAAACTCCTGCAACTTGGGGAAATATGATTCACCTTCCAGTTCTTTCCAGCGGTTACCAATGATTTCCTCTTCCAAGATCCAAATAATTCAATTTGGGGTGTTCAATTGGTTCTCTCCAGCCAGGTCACATGACCGGTATTTTACTTCTTTTTGCTATGTGACCAGGTCACATGTCCGGGTGCTACGATCCAGCCAGGTGGTTTTAAAAGATGGAGACCTCCATGAGACCTCCTGGGTTTTGCGGATCAGGTGTTGTTGTTGTTTTCCCTGTGATGAAAGACACTTCTGGTGAATATATGGTTTTAAATGCTTACTTCTTTTCCAGGTTCCTCAAGCAAATCCAAGACATGAATTCATTTGCGGCTGATCGTGCCATGCAACAAAGACCTCGGAGACAACCCATTTAAATGAGTCACTCACAGTCATTGAAGCTTTGAAAGACGCTTGATGAAGCTATAGGAAAGGTGTTTCCTTGAGTGCCTTCCAGTACAATTTGCAGTGAGAAGAGTCACAGAAACCAAGGGATCAATCATTTAAGTAGCCATAACAAGATATATGTGTTTTTTCTTTGGTGACTTCCCTGTCGCACCAACATGCACTCGTTTCTATTTCCGACCTCCTCATGCACACCTCCAGACAAGGTCCCCTTGTTGACATCGTTTTGAGGTGGTCAAGCAGACAGATTGACACATCTGACACCCTCGCAGAGGGAACACAGAACCTGAACATAGAGCAGAACATCCGCTACAAGTCCAGTATGATGGACATGGGTGGTGCCGGTGTGCAGGAGTTCTTTTTTGCACATAGAGATAAGGGGCTGCGAGTCGGGTCCAGACCATCAGACCATGAGAGGTGACCTTACGCCATCCAGCCGATGATCCACATGTTGAGAAAGCCTGGTGGACAGTGGGAACATGACATCTCCAAGTTTGCCAATATATGTTAATACGCATCAAATCATGAGATGTCCTCTTCTTCTCGATGGTTTTGTTGCACACATGTATTTTGTGTTTAAATTTTTTCCCAGCTAACCAGGGTTCCAGTTTACAACCAGGGTTCCAAAAAATCTTTGCATACGGAACTAACTTGTTAGGTTGTTGATGGTTGTTGCTTGCTGAATATCGAGCCTCAAAGTGCCTCAAAGCCATTTCGGATCAGCTTTGTCTCCACTACACATGTCCTTTGTGCCTTTGTGAACGTGGATCAGCTGAGCTAGTCTGTGTCTTACTTGGTGTGTGTGGGTGTGAAGCAAGCAAACTTCCTTGTTGTGATGTTGTTCACAACTGTTGTGTCCACACTGTTGCGCACGCTAAGACCAGAAGTGGAGCAAGTGACCAATTCGATGAAGAAGGTGAAAAAGGGATCAATCCTAAAGAAGGATGCAACCCGATACCCTCAGTTTGGCCGCTTTGTTCAGGGACAGTGCTCTCGATGGAAGCCGCTTGGATTTCCACAGGTTTCACGAGCCAAGCTCCGGCTGGAAGTTGTGACTTGTCATGCATTGCTTGTAGTTGGAACTCGTTTGCAGCACTTAACTAACTTGCAGGACTCAACACGTTACAGCACTGTAACAACTACTGTAACAGCACAACGCATGTTGAAGCGCTCACATAACGTTACAGCAATGCAACAACACAACAAGCACTGTAACTAAGTTGTTTGACCTTGTTGGCCCTAGGTGTGACACCTTGGTGAAACAACACGCCCAATTGGCCTAGGTTCCTCCGCGAAAGCCAAAGTCTCAAGGCAATGTGGAGCTCCAGTGCGGAAAGTTTGTCTCGCAGACCATGGGTTGCTTGAGTAGGGTGCTTAGGGTGCAGATTGTATACGGTATACCATGTAGACTGAACTTCTAGCGCTTACTTTGTTGACATGATGTTACGATGTTGTAAGTATTGCTCACCGGCTTTAATCATGCAGGGTGCTTTTCATCAACTTACACGGCAACCACGCAATACATCATCCGGGGAAAGCAGGACTTGGTTGTATACGTTCAGCATTAAATGCTTGTAAGCAGCACTTGGTTAAGTTAGCATCAATTTTGTTTTGCACAGGATCTGGCTACGCAACTGTACCATTCAACCTCGTACACACAGGCATTGGCATGCCAAATGGAACAGCTCCAGAAAGGCAAGTATCTATCCATTGAAATGGCGGAGCACTTATCAGGCCACCAATGTTGTTCACATGCTGCGACACTCACTCCACTACAGGGCTCAAGGTCAAATCGTTTTAAGTATCGTGAGGGCTCCCTCGTGGATGGACTTCTCCTTTCACTACGGTGACTCATCAAGATGTACTGCGTGCATGCCCTTGGAAGGGCGCCCCAGTCATGTACTTAGTTGCCTGTGAAACATACTTTTGAAGGCAGTCTTGTTTGCATAAGGTTGCGCAGCACAAGTGCATTTCAATGTTTTCTGGCGTTGGTGGCCTTGACTTGGGCCTGTCTGCGTAGAGATCTTAGAGGTTGAGGTTGAAACAGGTGTGTGCTTGTCTGTAGAGCATTACTTTTTACTATGTGTATTGTTAGCTGCTCTGTAGTCAAGGTTCTGTGAGCCCTTGTGCTTCGAATCGCCCTTAGATGAGACTCTGCGTCATGTTACCACACACTGTCCAGGTTCTATGTTGTTTGGTCGCTGTTGACCTTCACTGCTTCGAACTGCAGGTCGAAAACAACCCACACTGCAGAGAAGTTTTGGGCCAAAGAATTGCAGATGGTTCTCTACCCAACGTGCCCGTGTACACAGATGTGTGGACTTTCCGTCCGACCGTCGACATGAGGGCCACCTGCACTGGCCTGATTGCTGGTTTTCCATGCCAGGATTCTTAACTGGTACAACTACACGCTGACACCATTATCTTGTCAAGCACCAACTTGCCACATCTTGCCACAACACCACGTTCACCAATGTTGTTTCTCTAAGGATATGTGCGGAGCAGGTTTGATGCAAGGCCTTTCAGGGGCGCGTTCATCTCTAGGAGAAGTCTTTGAGCAGGTAGAGGGGCTACCCTACTTGTGACTTGCATGCGCTGGGACCAACTACATTCACGGATGTTCTTGTTTTGATTGATTTTGCAAATTGGTTGAAATTCGTTGAATAGAACGCTAATTACACTAAATTAGCAGTTGTCGGGATCTGCTGCAAACCAGACCCAATGGCTGATGTTGGCGTAGGACGTCTCCGCCGGTGCCTCAAAAGAGCAAAGGCTCATTGCGCAACATGCAAAAACCATGCAACATTGCTAAAACCGTTTGGCCTACAGAACCATCTTTGTTGCTCTAGGCATCCAGGCCAAATTGGGTGCTCACGGAGCACCACGTCGACGGCCTTGGAAATCGAGCATCCCTTCCTGGGTGGGGGTAAGCCTGGGGAGAAATTACAGGAACCACCAGAAGCAAGATGTTACTTGCACCCTTGCAAGCATCCCCTAACCAACCTGTCCGGTGATGTGGGGGTCTAATTGGAATATTCATGACATTATCCATTACGATCCAAGGACCAATGATCAACCAATGACAACACCACCGAGCAGGATGACTTCGATAACCACGGAAAAATCCCTGCAGGACGGAAAATCAGATTGGAGTTCACATGAAGTGAACATAAGTATACATAAGTGAACTTAACCAATTCGACACGAGGCCTAATGTTGAGGCCTTTTTGGTGTTATATAGTCAAGTCAAGTCAACCAATACTTAAGAATAGGACTGAAGCACCTTCGAACGAAGATGAAGGTTGAAAGAGGAGTAAACTCCGCAAGAAAAGAAATCTAGTAAAGGCACGAGCTAGCTAGCAAAATATGCCTACTAAAGATACTTTCATGGGTTGTTTCGGGTTACCCTGTTCAGAATCCTTCTAAACGTTTCGCCCCCCAAAACTCATCCAGATCTGAGCTTGGGCACTGTTCAACGAGATCACAGGTTGGAGACAGGACCAAGGATTCAACGAAAGCCACACTCAAGCTACATGGCCCAAAATTTTAGTAGCTGAATGGCCCGCGAAAGCCAAACTCAAAGCTTGAGAACTATAGCCGGACCTATCCTTCCCAAGAAGTCTGCATTGGGGGTGTTCAACCCACGAACAGCCACTAGACATCACTAGACATAGAGTGACCTCTGAACTGATTGGACCACGCTGGACCTGTGAAATACATAGCCTCATGGAGTGGGTGTGTTTTTCCATGAAGGTACGATCCTCCGTCCTGCAGGGTTTGTTTCGTGGTCGGGATAAAACGAAGCATTCAAAGCTACATGTTACATGACAGGCTGACCAAAAAAGATCACTCCTAGTACTGTACATAAATAGCATCCCTCTACTCCAAACAAGGCTCCTGGTAAGATGGTCTTCTGAAATTGTTCGCCCAAAAGTTCAAACATGTGGAAGGTTGTGGAGCCGTGCAGCACAAACGCTGGGTAAACCAGTGGAGGAAATTGGGAACTAAAAAAACACGTATCATCTCCCTCATTCTTCCAGTCACTAGTAACAAGTGCATTGCTACTAGTAGCAAGAAGCTACTAGTAACAAGTGCATCGCTACTAGGAGCAAGGACGCTACTAGAAACTCCTGGCCTTACTACTAGGAACAAGAAGCTACTAGTAACAAGTGCATCGCTACTAGTAACATTCTGGAAAACAATGGGGCGAACACTGAACTGCTTGGGTCTGTTGATCGGTACTGGCATTGGTATGGGCATTGGATTGGCGAAGTAGGTATAGGCAAATAGGAAGATTGAAGTTGGGTAGCAAACTGGGAAAACTTGGATAATGTTCCTAATAGCTTCTTGTTACTGGTAGCTACTTGCTCCAAGTAGTACGGCCAGGAGACCCTAGTAGCGCCCTTGCCAGGAGCCCCTAGTAACGTCCTTGCTCCTAGTAGCGATGCCATGAGACCCTAGTAGCGTCCTTGCTTCGTAGTACCAACCCCAGGAGCATGCGTCAAACCATGTGGAGCTGCGGGGCGCAGTACTGGGCGCAGTCGGTGTCAGCATGTTTGCAGGAGCTGAACAACACTTGGGAGAGCAAACACGAGTACAACGCTCAGGCAGGGCGCACACAGCTTTACGGTGGTTTTGGAGGATCTCCCGGCGTGATCACATCGTAGGCGATCGAACGACCCCGTTGTCCAAGATCTCAAATCGATCCGTACCCACTATCGAACAGCTCCCCCCCCACTTAAGTTGGGAAGAGCAATGGAGGACAGCGGGGCTTTGCAACATGATGTTGACTTGATTCTATGATGGTTTTTGTGTTGTGTTTTGAATGCTTGTGGTGAGCCTTGTTCCATGAATGTTTTGGTGTTGGTTGACATCGGGCATTTTGTACAGGAGTGGTGGGACACCTGTCCACAGGCCGGTCCCAAAACCGTTGGGCTCTCGGCGAGTGAGCCCAGTCTGACTTCGTTGACCACAGTCAATGGCCTCCTCAAGCTTAAGGGCTCTATATATATATAATCGTTCAATGTGGTTGTTGTTCATGTGTCCGCACGCTACTGACTAATTGTTGAGGATCCCGGATGCCCTGAAGAATCGCTTCGAGGTAGATTCCCCCCACGCTGCCAAGCTGAAGTGGCTGGAACAACAAGTTGTCGACGCCAACACAAGTAAAGGTGAAAAGGGCTTTGGCAACAACACCAGCTTCAACACAAGCTTGAACACAGGCTTCTGGAACCGTGACAGTTCACGCCTACAAATCCTCCCGCCCGGACAGCGTGCCTGCCACAGTTCACTGACCAGGACAAGCCTTTGGATGTGTCACATGCGAGCTTGCCAGCGCAAGATTTCCGAAACTCACACCAGTGTGCCAACTGCATGAAGACTGTGGCAGTGATGTTCATTGTGCATCAGTAAAGCTCAGCGTGTTTAATTTAGAGTTGTGTTCATTCTGTACCTCTATATCATTCTATGCTTGTTTGTCGCCACGGGTCTGTGTGTTGAAGGCTGTGTTCATTTTGAGGCTGAGGTCTGTGTTTACTTGTTTCCTGATTGTTTCAAGTTCATGCCAGCTAAGTGGTTGCATGCAATTTAGTTTCAGTGCTTGCTTACTGATTGGCGACGATTTTTATTTTAAACTACTACCAAGGATCATGGCAACAGCAGTATACCCCCGCTTGCCAGCAGTCAAAATTTGCCTCACAAACAGCTATGACTTGTGGTTGGTGAATGAGGGTGAAACGAACGCTGAGATCCAGGCAGGTGAACTCATCGGCTTCAACGTTGGATCTTTCAAGGAGATTGCCTTGGGTGCCACGGCCGGTTCATGTCATTAACGTGCATCAACAGTAACATACAGTAATCAACTGGTGGAAGGTACAGGTTGGGTAGTTTCAACCAGTGTGCTTCAAAGTTGCTGAGTTGTTGCGCAATACAAACAAAAGCAAGTAGAATTAATGTGTTCCATGAACAGTCCATGAATGTTCCACCATCATGTTCTCAAAGTGACAACCACAACAATGTACATATGTGCGATGGAGATGGAAAAAGCTTGTACCTGTGTGCTGAAGTGTTGGGTTGGTGTTGCAGAGTGCTGAGGCATAGCAACAGCACCGCCTATAGATTCCCTGCCCTTCTTGGTTAAATATGATACGTGCTTGGTGGCTTGGGTGGGGAGGGATGGCAAGGAGTTGATTTTTATTGCAGACCGTGACATGGAGCAGGCGCAGGACAAGTTGGGACAAGTTGTACGTCGAAGTTGTGATGTTATTGTCGTCGTAGTTGCTACACCCTTTTTGTTCACCTCTGTTAGTACCTCTGTTTGGCACCCCGGCAATGTTGGAACACTGTGTTTTCTGCGGACTTTACTAAGTTCTAAGTTCCGGTTTTGGCCAATGTGCAACAGTTGCTGAACTTCCATTACAAGATTCAACCAAAGCAACGGGTTCACGCTGTTGAACAAAAGCCTTTGCCCGGTGATGTCGACTTGCAGAATATTTGTGCTTCTCAGATGGGACAGCTGTTCGTCAAAGACGGCCAGTTGCCCAAGTTGTTGACCAACAAGCACTGTGCTGTGACCTGGGATGTTTGTGCCTAAGTCGGTGGGAGGTGTTGTAAGAACCTCACAAAGCGTGTCACACAAGTTGTAAATGCAGCTTGTTGTGGGTTATTGTTTTGCGGGTCAAAGGGGTAACATTGCTCAGGTGCGGGTGGACAATTCTGCTCCGGCTTGCATTGTGGGCGTCAAGGCCAAAATTTCATTGACAGCGCGTGTGTCACTCAACGCACGGACAGCATGTAAGCTGTCTTGAATTTTTCAATCAGGGATCAACTGCTGTAAAGGGTGGCCAATGCAATCACTGCTTGGACTTTTATGGTTCATGTCTTCATAGCTATGACATATAGCTTCAACAAATGCAATGACAGTGGTTCCACTTGTTGTTGAGGCGGTGAGGAGATGGGGTAGCGGTTGCATAACACCTGGAAGTCGACAGAATAAGGTTTTGATAAACTACCGGCCAAGTAGCATCTAGATCCGTTGGCGCTTTGAGAAAAACAAACAACTGCACAACAACCCGTGGGCTCAGGTTGCATTTCCAGCATGCTTAATTAAGCAACAGCACATACTCGCTCACGCGCTGCTACATTAGTTGCTTGGACCTGCAGCACCCCTCTCGCGTGCGAAGTTGTAGTGTAGTACTCGCCCTTTTTGGATGTGGTTGGGGCAAGTCGCCCTCATGTTTCAAGATGTGAATGACCTTTCTGATGAGGAGGCTGCACGGCGGGGTAAGAGCAGGAAGCCGAAACTAACACCGAAACCGAAGACAACAAAAGCAAAGCCGAAGGCTTCTGTAAAGAAATCTCCAAAGGCCAAGGCTTCTCCGAAAGCCAAAGCAAAAGGCAAAGCAAAAGCGAGTGCACAGAAACCACGAAAGGACAAATCAGCCAGGAATGAGAGGAGTCAGCCAGAAGAAACAAAGCCTCAGGAATCTCAGGTAGACCCGCAGCCAGTCTTGAAGAAGCCAGCTGCAGCAGGTTCATGTCATGTTATGTTGTTCAGCCCTGAAAGATGATGCCTCGAGATGGTGTGCCAGACACAAAGTTTCACGAGATCGCAGCCACTTGTTTGCATTTACTGAACAGCCCATGTCAACGACAACATGTTGACACACACTTGTGCACAACCGTCACCGCATGTCACCGCCCTAGCCTCATGTGTCAGTGGTTGATTTGCCCATGCGACGAGTTGCTGAAGCAGGAGTTGCTGAAGAACAAGGGGGGATGCAACGTCAGCAGTTTTGATGAAGGTTGCGGTGCACTGTTTGTCTTGGATTCTGCACATTTGTGATTGAACAAGCAGCTAACCACTCAGTTAACCATGATGTTATGTCACTGCACTAAATGAACTTGCCAACTAGCCATTTGTAACCGCTTGAACTTGGCAGGATGCAGTGCTCGATGCCGCGGAGAGAGAAGGATTGGAACCTACCACTAGGAATGCCAAGGATACGAGTGGTGACCTGCCCCTAGAGGGTGAGAAGAAGAAGAAATGGTTGAACATGATGAGAGCCTGTAGTGCCATAAATGGCAGTGTCAATTTTTGTGTAATAGCTTGCGCCTCTTGGACATGAGTGCTGGTGGCGATGGAGAAAATGAAATGCTTTGTGCACATGCAGCGTGTTGTTTTGTGTCAGCGGCTAGTCCTTTGTGCCTTGTGCTCACTCCTTGTTGCAAAGTTCTTGTTGTATTGAGTGTTTTGTTGCTGGTGGTTTGCACTGTTTTGGTTTAATGTTGTTGATTAACTTGCATCATTCTTGGCACTATTTGAGCTTGAAAAACTGGAACCCTGGTTACAAACTGGAACCCTGGTTAGCTGGCAAAATTTTTGTTTCTTTTCTACTTATTGTTCTTCTTCTCGATGCGCAAATCGTTTGCTCGCTGCATGAATCCGTCCAGGAGAGTGTTTTGAAGTTTCCCAATGTTTTGTGCGGCAGCCCTGAGCACATCACCATGCAATCTGTGGGGATATCTCTCATGGCTTCTTGCCGGAAAAGGACAAGGCGTTGTTTTTGTCGTGTGTGCCAACAAGCCTCAAAACCAGCCGACTTGCCACGGACCCCTAGTTGTTGAAACCAGGGACTAACATGGAGCTCTAGACTTGGTGATTCTTGTACGTTGATTGCAAGTATGAAAGCTACGATTGGACTCTCCTGGCGCCTAAGATGAGTGTTTTATTGCAGAGCGCGTCCAGTCAGTCCGGAGTGACTGAAGCTGTGACCCGAGAGCCCCGACACACTGGCGTCTCAGGCGTCTCAGGCCGACGCTGTTTTGACCGGATTCGAGAGAAAACACCACTTACCCTGCTGAAGACTATACCCTAGGGCTCCAACCATATCTTCAGAAGGTGGTATTCGACCCCCCTGACACCCACCTGAACCATCTTCTCAGTAGGTAGTTCGAGTTTCAGGGATATTCACTAGACCCAGAAAACTGCTTGACAGGAACAGAGGTCTGACTTATGACCCGGGTCCATTTGAGTTGACTCGCGAGTGTCAGACGCTTTCCATGTCCAGTTGCTCAACTCCGAACTCCGTTGCTTCAAACATGGGTGAAAAAAACACCCGCCGCACCCGCCGCTCACATGGTGTTGAAAGCCAGCGTTCTACATGTTCCTTTTCAATGCTCCTCATATTGGGAGGATGGATTCAACTTCACAGCAGAGAGGTGCAGCACATCCGCAGTGCCACTCTTCATCTGTGTGACCTGGGTGAGGTGTCGGGTTGATTGTGCCTGCTCTGCGTCAATCCCAAACTGGGGAACGTTCCTCCTGTTTTCCACATTGCCAATCCAGTCCTTACGTGCCTCCGTCTCACAGCTGGCTTCGACGTCAGAAAGAGCTAACTAGGTGCTGGGTGTGGCCTTCCTGGCGGCGGCTTGCTTTGCTGCTCGGATGGCGCCCAAGTGGTCCGGAACCCGGAAGCTCCGAGCCTCGGCTCCAACGCGCATGACCATGCGAGGTGGCGCGTGGCGCGCGTGCGCGAGGGATCTGGGTAGGCTTGCCACCACAGGCCGTGAAAACCAAGTCCAAAGAATTCACCCTGGTTTCCAAGTCAGGTGCGGGGTGGGCAGCCTACACCTTAGGCAGAATTGGCTGCTGTTCTTGTCCTACTGCAGCGTGAATTGCCTGTTCATTTTATGCATGTGCTTGCAGCTGTGCTCAACAAGAAAGAAAACGTACTACGTTTACAGTGCCTGCTATTAAAACACTTGCTGTTCCTATCTTTGTAGCAGCTCGAGTATTGCGTTATACTCGTTTTGGAAGAATCAATTGACGTCATGAATTTGGTGTAGAATAGATTGTAGTGGGCCATTGAAGACAAGTCATGTGTTTCCAGGTGTTTGTTATTGACTACGTATTTGTTTGCGCCCACTAGATAGTACCTTTACACTGTTTTGTTTGCATCGTGGCCGATATGTGTCGATCTAGTTATCATCCGATGACATTTTCAAGCAAGCAAACAATTCATTTGCCCGCTCTGTGAGTGTTGTATCTTCATTTGTTGGGCTCGGGCATGAGGGTATTTGTACATTTACATCAGGTGTCCAAGACATGGGCCATTGGCCATTGATGGCCATCGTCCGGATATGTCCGGATCAGGATTGAACACTCTCCAGCTGTCTGACAGACCTTCCCCACGCCTCAAGTCCAAACATCTGAGTCTTTTGGGCAAACCCATTTGGTGGATCCACACCGGGAGACCTTTGCGCAAAACCCAACATGAACAGACCAGACACATAAATTGACCTGGTCCACCTAGACGATAGACTGCTTGCCCTCACCGGAGCCATCGGGCATCGGTCGTGCGGCCTCCCGAGCTCCATGGGTCGTCCGGGGACCCAGGAGCCATTGTCTTCCTGATCCAACGCTTCCGGCCAAGCACCTGGTGGTTTGGCCTGGTGCTTTTGGCCCGAGGCAGGGGACCAGGCCTTTGGCGTTCGTTCGGTCTGATGGTTTTTAGTCTTTCAAACTCACTGCATGCGTTACCTATATATAGCGGTTGGATCCACTGGAATACACAGCCCATATCCATCATATCCTCCAGTGACATAGACCTGAAATCTTGTACGGCATAGATGTGCACATCTTTACCCGGTGCTCTTTGAGCACATGTCCACATCTGTGACAATGTGTGACTTGAAACAGGGTTCGGATGATGTGTTAGCCATAACATCCACCCCTTCCAAAGTAGGATTACTCCGAATTTGCAGATCATTACGACCTGGTCCAAACTGGGACGTGAATCTCCAAAAAGCAGGCACGACTATATGTGTTTTCGCACGACCAGGTCGACTCTAGGTACTCTCAGTATCCCTCAGTCAGACAGTGTGTTTGTCTTCAGGTGAAAACAGGGTGTGACAAGCCGGAGTTGGCGAGACAGCTCTAACGGAGAGCTGGACGTTTGCATTGATTTCTTCCTATGCGGAGTGCTCTCCCCCGAAGGGGACATCCCATCGAACATGAGGGAGCAGCCCCCAGAGTCGAATTCCGCTCGGGCGGTCGGCAGGGATGCTCTTGTCCTTACCAGTGGTCTTTGCGACGAATATGCCCGGCCTTCATTTGATGCTCATGCTTGGAATTCAGCAGGCTGGCATGTGAAACGATGGAAGCGACGATCGCCCCCGATTTGCACAAAGCTGCGCCCTGAAATCCATAGAGGATGGTGCAATCGATTTTAGATCTTCAAGAAAGAGGCACAGCTAGAGTAGAGAGGGATCCTTTTTGCCTGAACATTTCAAAGCAGCCGCGAAGAGGAGGTAGAGGAAACGTTTGATCTTCTATGGGTGACATGAATACTTAAAACCCTACCCAGTGGATCCAATTACCACTATAGTAGGTACAACCAGTGGTTCCAAAGACTAAATCCATAGTGCCATAGAGCTAGCAACCCTGGTTCCTTATACTGGTAAGTGGGATCCCCTGGGTTGGTTTGACGGTTTTCAGGTCATTTATCCATCACCCAGGTTGTTTTGTTTTTTTGTTTCAGAGATCTTGATGTTCTATCATGTTCAAGCCTTCCTTGGATCCCATAAACTCCCATTTTCAATTTGAAACCACCGCCCTTTGCCAAACCTGGCGTTTCTGTTCCGCGCACGCGCACGGTCTGTGGAGAGACCGAGACCGAGACTGAGAGTTGAAAAGGCCTCCAAGCTACTAGCGATGGCCTCCACCTCGTTTGGGTGGAGTTTCAGGCCTATTCCTACATGCAGCTTTGGTTCCATCCATGGAAATCGCCCATCCTCAATCTTGGCGATGCAGTCTCCACTGGATTGCTGGCCCCTGGGAGAAGTGGGATGGTTTGGGTGGTGCGGACTACTGTTTGTTGTGGTGTGGTGTGGTTTGTTATGCCAGCCAGAAGTTATAGCTGTTCAATAATTGTGTTCAACATTGTAGGTGTCTCCGTGAAAAATGAAGTTAGGTTCAAGTTGTGTAGCAACCTGCATATGCGTTTAAAGCAACAGATGGTTGATGAAACAAACAGATCTCATGCCAACTCAACAAGGGCCATGCAGAGTCAAGGTATGTTCAGGCAGAGCCAACAACAAGTCTAATGTGGCTTGCATCTATTCGTGTTTGGGCCTTTAGCCCGGACACATTACACATTAAACTCACACATGATGAACACGTACTTTTGACACATAGTCAAGTCACAGATTTATAAGTGTATAGTTGATTATAAACTTACAAGCAGCTTTGACATAGAAAGCACTGAACATCACACAACACCTCTGAAGATATGCTTATTCATGCTTCCATGCAACACAAAACACTAGAAGTATCACTGCCCGTCTACATAAATAAGAAATATGTATACGCAGGGCCCGTATCACCCCCGCACTACCCGTGGTCCTGCCCTCTTTGAGCGGACCTGTTCCACATCGCCGGAAGGACCGGTGGCTGTGAACTCGGAATCTTCAGTAAAAGGTACTCCTGAAGACGAAGCTAAGCACAAGTGGGTGTGTGTTTTTGTTTTTTAGGGGACCCCTGACTTGATCAAAGAAGGGCGAACTGGGAGGTCTCCCCCAGTGCTGGCACAAAGCTGATGGTGCTCGGTGAGGAAATGCGTTCCGTGTCTTCTTGAGGATCTGACCTGTACCAGAAATTGGACGTCTATTTTTTCTGTAGCGAACACCATCGACCACCTCCCCTTTTGCTCGACATTTAGACCTGTACGCGCCATATTCCCAAGTCATATTCCAAAAACCCTGCAGACATGGGGTTCATTTCAGATACACTAAAGCCTTTTGTCCTTTGTCTTTCGCACCTGTCCTCACCTCGATGCTCCTGTGCTCGGAGCGCATCGCGCATCGCGGTCCGGCGAGGTGAGCCTTCTAGCCACGTCGTTGGCCTGTCTCGACACTTGTCCAGACATCCTACAGACCCTGCGTGCCGTGGTCTCCTTGATGCTGATCACAAGCTTGGTGTCCTGGTTTGATCTCACGATTTCCCCCGGTTGGAAGCTTTGAGGATCGGTTGGTTGGGGGTTCTGTGTGTTCGACTCTGTTTGGTACGATCGGGCAACGGTTGTTGCATGTCTTTTTTCAACGGCACGATCCAAACGAAGCCGTTCCAAGTCAAGTCAGAAGCTTGGCGCCAGAGCTCGGCTATCCGTGGATCATCACTAGTGGATCAGCAGGTCAGTCTGAGAAGAAAAACACCATGAGGTGCTCAGATCCCCCGCGCCAAGAGTGGCAACTTTGGGTGTTTCTTTGGCGGTGTTCCTGTGATCAGAGGATGTTGGGAATGGGCATGACCGCGTAGAACCCATCGTGCATCCTCATCGAACCTGACACTTGCAACCCTCTACGGCCCTGTGGCCGTAGATAGCAGATAGCAGACACGTAGATAGCAGGTTCATACATCAATCAGACTAGCAGGACACTCAATGTGTTGGGTCTTTTTGAAAGGTGTCCTGGAGTGAATTCATTCCCACACGACATCCACGGGACTGGAAGGGCTATGCCAACTACATTGACCCCCTATAACAACCACCACCCCAACGCCGTTTCTCGGCATCTATATGGCAGTCCCATACATGGAGCGTTTGGGATTGGGAGGCCCAGGCCTCCTCAGCGCGATGTGTCGGGTCTACATTTCACCAGAGTCCTGGAGTTGAAGAGTCCTGGAGTTGAAACTACTCCCTTCGTTCGCCCAAAAGGGGACATGACTTCGATGATTCGTAACGAGAACAACATGCATGAGCAACATATGGTTGTCGATCTAAAGGTCCTAGTCAGCAGTGTGTATGACGATGACCCGGAACATATCAAAATCTCATTTGGCGAAAGTTTTTTCTCGAGTTGGCGAAAGTAATTTTTTTTTGGCGAAAGATCTGGCGAAAGATTAAATATGTACTTTTGTATGAATGTTCATTTGCTTTCTGAACAGCTGGTGGCAGTGACTCAGAAGCTAGATAAGCTGTGGAAGTTAGATAACCAGTGCTGCTGCGGCTGCTACTACTACTACTACTACTACTACTACTACGACTACGACTACCACTACCACTACCACTACCACTACCACTACCACCACCACGACCACGACCACGACCACGACCACTACCGCTACCGCTACCGCTACTGCTACCACTACCACTACCACCACTACTACTACTACTACTACTACTACTACTACTACTACTACTACTATTCCTGCTCCTGCTTTGGGGGGTGGCTTTGCCACAAAACTCTACCCCGCAAAAGGCGAAAGTTTGGCGAAAGTTCAGCTCAAGATTGGCGAAAGTTCACCCTGCCACATCTGACCCCCAGCCCATTATGAGTAAGTTTGAGTGACCGGCTACTACAGTGATTCTTGCAATTTTGATTCTTGCTGGCACCCAGGAGAAACAAAAGAGACGTACTGGGTGTCAACAGTTAAGTAGAAGACACATGCTGACAAACAGTGAAGTTTCTATTTTGTGTTTGCCAGTAAAGAAGAAGCCATTGACGTGAACAAAACACAACATACATGGCACACATAAATACAACGTACTTCGGCGAAAGATAAAACGCAGGAAGGCGAAAGTTTGGCGAAAGTAATTTTTTTTTGGCGAAAATGACGGATCCCGGATAGAGGAATTTAGATCAACTCCCATATACTAATTTGGTATACTCATTTTCCGAGATACGACACAGGTGGACTTCAAATATCCTTTGCATTCCGAAGACCAGCCGAGTCGGGAGAACGAAAAGCGGATCAATCCTTCGAGAGCGAGTTGGTCTTCGTTGTTACGGTCTTCGTTTCTTCGAGTTCTACGACTCGGACGTCTCAGGTTCTGTTGGTCTTAATCACCACCTTGAACTTCTTTTACGTTTCAGTGACCCGCAAGCAATTGCAGCTTGGCCAAGGGTTGGGCTTCTTGAAGCCCAAGGCCGTTTTAAGGTTTCGCCCCAAAATGAGATGAAAGGCATTGAAAGGCATGATGTTCAATGCGATGTAAGTGAAGAATGGTGAAACTCGTGAAAGGTTCTAGATTCTAGGGTTCTTTTCAATGAATTGATTTTGCTACCTGGTGGTCACTGGGGTGCACAGTGGGTTGCGCGGATGCCCATTGGCCCATGTACGCTGGACATATCGATGGCTGGATGGTGACACTATGGATTGTGGTGCAAAAAGCAAGAAGGAACATATAACATATCGTGAAATGGGAATGAGATGGAATGAACTGAATGAACACATATTCTTTGGTCATGGGAGCAACCTTTCTTCCTTGCAAGGTCTTCTTTTCCGGAGCCGCTTTAGACCGGTCGTTTCGTTCGAGCTGGGCAAGTACCGTTTTCACCAAGAGTATGCCCCCTGCTCAATGTGAGATGATCACCAGGGGTGTCCGAAGTAGGGAATGGTAGAAACAGACCCTCCTGGCACCCAGCGAACCTGAGGATGTGGTGCAGGAGTTTTGGGGGCTATGACACCCACCCAGGCCCACTCACACTCTCACCGTGAGAAACACCAAGGTCGCTCTTGGATTTGGGCAAGACAGGCGGCTCTCGCTGCAAAGCAGGAAGCCCAAACTGCCAATCCAAGTAATGATGCTTCAAACAGAGTCATACTGGGCCAGTTGGGTGACTGACTAAACGTGCCCACCCTAAATCAAGTTGCACCCTTTAAAACCTGCATGTTCCATGGCTTCCAACTGTCAGTTGTGATTCCCAATAGATCTTGTGCGTAACAGGGTGCCTGCAAAGGCTCCTAGATTCCCTGTACCAAAAGTCATGTTTGCGAGCCGCCTTTGGAATTCTTATTTGTTACTTTGATGTACTGTTTACAGTGGAAAAAACAAACAAACAATATAACAGATTATAACAGACTATATTATCTATACTACCTGGTACAAATATAGCCTTCCAACTGTTCATCTTTAAACAAAATGGCGCAACGTGTGCGTAATCGGAGAAACCAGGTGTATATACTGTATATATATATACATACACATAATCAATCGAATCAATCAATGATTTTGCAAAGGGAAAGAAAAGACCTTCAGTTTATCCACAAGACTTTCCTAGGCACCTTGTTGGTTTTGAAGCAATGGTTCTAGTTCTACTTTTTATTCAATAACAATACACGTAACTGTTATGAGGAATATGATGAGAATTAGAAGGTTTTCCCATCAAGGAAAGGCTTGTCCACGTTGGCGGCAGAGGGAGTGGGGAAGTCCAACTTCCCCTGCCAAGTTGCTACCTGGGGCTCCCAGTTGCACCTTGGTTGGCTTGAGACGTTTGCTGCACGTCTCCTCGTGCAGCTTTCAGGTGATGCGGACTCTGTGCTTGAAGGACTTCGACAAATCGCAGACTTCTTATCCAGCGACTGGGCACGTGAAGGCCACAACAGTACGCAACTTGAGAGGGTTTTCGCAGGGAGACACGCAGGGTTTTGTAGACGGTGTTAGCAGGGTCGTAGCGTCGTACCCTACCCGGACCCACAGTTGGGGCGGTTCATCATCGAGCTAGCTAAGTAGACACCCCTTAGTGGCCGCTGGCAGGGGCGTGGAAACCGAGCCAGAACTGCCACCCTCTCAAATGGCACAAACTTTCAGCTGGCTATCTGGGGGATTTGAAGGGAACGAGGGACGAAAGATGTACTGTAAACGAATGGGGATGTGAGATCAGCTGTTTCGGCATCAACTGCGTCTTTAGTTGACCAACTGCCCCCCCCCAAAGAAAACAAACAACTATCATTAAACCCAGCATAATGACTCCTGGTGCCGCGGGCTAGATTGGCGGAATGATTTGAGAGAACCATTTTGAGGTATGATGACCATCCAGGAACACGGAACCTTTGGAACCGGTTTCGTGGAATGAGTGAAAACCACCTGTTTGGTATTTAAGAAATTACCCTAAGAATCCTTGGGCTCTCCATGGCAGGGGTCGGACCCTCCATAGCAGGGGTCTGGGTCCTCAAAACCCTATCTGTTTGAGGGCCCGGATTCTTAGGGTATGATCTCATTCCCTAGGGATCCAAGTACCTTCTCAGGTTCGGTACGACTGGACCCTCCTGGCACCTACATAACAGTGTCTCCAATCACCGTACCTGAGGTTCGGTACCACTGGATCCCTAGGGATTGGTATCTTTAGGGGTCGATGGCTCCACGGCTCCATTCCAGAAGGGGTCACTGATCTACCACGGTGACTGATCATCTGTCGGCTGAGGGGACCGGGAAGAGAGTACTTCTCTCAGCAAGGGCTTGGCGAAGTTATGCGCTTATGACTTGAACTGTGTCATGGACGCCTGGCCAAAACACGCGGTCGCCATGCTGGGTGGTGATCGGTATAGACACACCGAAAGGGCCTGGTGCATGGACGCTCCAGCCACCAAAGAGACACTCCAGCCAGGGTATCTTGGTATTTGGTGTGTATTGAAATCGTTGATCAACCTTCAAAGACCCTTGGGATCATTGGTTAAAGGTCCTATTCTAACCCCCCGTATGGGCCTCGCAGGGAGAACACTCCCAATTTCTTAGCGGAAAAGCTACCACCTGGTGAACTCACTGTGGCAGACTGGTGAGTTGTTTGATGACCTGGGCACACCGCCCACATGGCGTCCGCACTCGTGGAAAAAATGGCAGACTGGTGAGTTGTTGCCCCTGAAAAAGGTGTAAATCCCCATCAAATCCCGGGGACCAGATGGGTCTTTTGTTCCATCGGGTCACCGCGGAGTCCGGTCCCTTGGGTCTCTCAAAGACTTGACCAGGTCCCAGGTTACACACACACACACACCCCAAGAGACCCAGCTTGAACTGGGGACGATGGGCAGTGGTTCATTCTACCTGGAAAATCCTTGAAATATGATGAAATATGGACGATATAGTCCAACTGTTTAATTGAAAAAACGTCATCCACAGATGCTTTCGGCATGACCCGCCACATGTGTTTTTCATACGGGGTTGTTCATTAATTGGAGCCTCAGATCACTTGAGATTGTGCAACATTTGGATCTGAACAGATCACCATAGACTATAGACCACCTGTTTGTTTGAATGTGACATATCATGATGACCAATCCATGGTGGCATAACGCTTTGATCCGGATGTTAGGCCACTGGGAAGCAGGTGAAAAAACAGGTCACAGGTAAAAACTTCTTAGGAAACTGCTCACTGAAATAGGGACAACACGCCGGAGGTGCCTTCAATGTGTTTTATTGGGATGTATGTGTATATATATATATATACATCGTCCGTTTATTGCGCTTGGCCGCAATTGGTCTTTTGTGATTTGAGCCAGGAGTTTTGTTTTCGGTCCCCTCCTACTCTTTTGTTGTTAGGATTGTTCCACTTCTCAAGTTGACTTGAGCCCGGAGTTGATTGATGTACTAGATGTGTCATGTGAAGTTATTGATTGGAGGACAGGAGAATCAATCTCTCACAATTTTGAAAGGCCGGCCCGGGGAGCAACACCACGCCACATTGGAATGGCTTCAGAAGAGTTGTTTTTGTCCTTTTATTTTTGCAGATGTTTGTTTGATCACCAGCTTCTCAAGGAATCCAATCAATACCTCATGTACCTGATTTCATTCGACTTTGTTGCTGCTAGCACAGCGGCCTAGGCTTAAAGGTTACCATCCCCAAACATCTTTGAGAAAGCACCCCTCATCAAACCACCTGGCGACTTCTTGAGTGAACATGCGGGTGTCGTTTGATAGGCCTCTCTAGTTGAGCCGATCGTCAATTGACCTGAACGGAGTCTCCTGGACCCCTTTCTTGGCATGTGGGACTTGGTAACCACATGGGACCCAATAAGAGAAACGCCTTGGAACAAAATGGAGAACGGCTAGACCTGGAAACATGACCAGACCCACTGGTTGGGGGGTCTTCCTTTTCACCAGCCATTTGGATGGCAAAGACCACCTAGAAGCAGCTCTCCCTCCGTCCCTCCCTCCTCCCTCCCTCCCTCCCTCCCTCCCCTCCATCTCTATAGTAAAAAAACAACACACACACAGTTCTCATTTGTTGATGTCCTTCCTTCCCTCCAAATTTTGGCCGACGGTCGGAACACATGTTTGCGGAAGACGTCCGGGTGAACTGACTGGACTCCCTTCTGTTCACTTCACCTCAATCTTGACAAGTCAGCATGAGTCATCCCCAAATCACTCAAGAACTAGAACTGGATCTAACAATTCAGCTATAGCTTCGTTTTAGTAAGGTCACCAATTGATGCCCATGCTTCCAAAGAGCAATTGTTTTCTTTATTAAAGACACCTTGGTTTGTGATCCATTGGTACCAGTCTCCACATTTAGAACATCCACCAAAAAGAAACAAAACAAGCACACAAGAAAAAAACAAAGCTCTTTAGTGAAGGGTTGCACCCTGCTTGAAACCGTGTGGTACCGGGCCTACACGTACCGCGCCGTTGGGCTGCAGGAAGCCATCGATGTCTTGCTCGATGATTGGGAGATTGTCCCCTCGGAGGAGCGGCGGTCCACGTCCGCGTCCACTTCCCGTAGCCGCAGTCGGATCTCCTTGGCGCCGAACCGCGACTCCCTCAACTCGCGGGGCAAAGGAAGCAAGAGGCCAGAGGGTGTGGGAGATGACCAGAAAGTCGCTTTTGGTACCGAACACCTGGAGAACTGTTGATGTTTTTTTCCTTGTGATTGTTGTTTTCTGGTTTTGCTTCGGATGTGTTGTAATGTTCCCTTTGGTGAATCCCTTTCGTTTTCAGCGAGCAACTCTAAGTTTTATGATGTCTTGTTTGGTGCGAAGGAGATCGAAGAGGCGAAAGAAAGTTCCGCTTTGTTCTATGTTTTGTGGTCGTTGCTGGGTGCACCCACGCGCCCCAACTCATTCCATCTCATTCCCGCCAATTCCACCTGCACCCGGCGTGCATCATGCGATGGGACATGGATGGAAATGGTGTTTGGAAGGGAAAATGCACTGCAAACCTAGTATTCTCCTATTGCTGCTCCCAGTCCCCTTTTGACATCGAGCTTGGGGTGGGTGCCAGGAGGGTCCAAGTACCTTTTGAGGAGGTACTAAGGGACCTCCAATGGACACCCCTTGAAGGTCCAGGTATATATATCCTCCATTGAAACACCGACCTGGTTTGGGTCCGTCTGGACCTGACCGGCGGCGTCGACATGTGTCCAGTGGTCCTTTTTCCCCTTCAACGAACGGAGCGACCTGGGGAACTCGGTGGCAGATCCAGAAAGGGAACCCAGAAACACCATCACTGCGTTCCTTTCCGTTTCCCTCCCATAGTCTGCACCTTCCAGTTTTCCCCACCTTCTTCCATTCGACGCGCGCTTTTTCAGGCAGCGCGTGTCGATGCTGGCCTTGGAAGAGGCCATGGTGGCGCCCGTCGAAGCCGATGGCGCCGGACACATCAACGGCGGGAGACGCTCGGAATGCGGGAGCCAGCTCTGTCGCTGCTCCGGGGGAGAGCAAGGTGAGACAGAGCGGCGCAGGTTTGGAGTTGCCATCCCTGGTTTTTGGTTGCGTCCTGTTTTGAGTGTATTTTCGTTCGGAGCTCCCAAGCACCTCCGTGTCGGGGGGGTTCCAGCCCGGCAGATGGGTGGATAGGATGGATGGGTGCCCTAGGAAGTCGTAGTACCTTCTGACGAGGGTGGGACAGGAGCTCCAGAAGCGGCCCCCAGAGATTGTTCTGACTTCAGCTGACTAAGAAGACAGTAGAAATCGGAGGACCAAGTTGTTTCGGGACCGTGGGACATGGTGGGACCGTGTCGACGTTGACCTACGAGTCATGTGAGAAGTAACCCACTGACATGTGACTTGAAACCACCAAACAGACAAGTTCATTGAGGTCTAAGAGGTATTTCTTCCCCTAAGGGTCCAGGACCATCCGAATCGGATGTCCTTTTGCCCCAGTTCGACCATTCTCAGGAAGCACGTACTCACCTCCAAGGCCATCCGATTCGGATGGTCTTGGACCCTTAGGGTTCTCTAAGGCTTGGACAACTCGGGCAACTCGAAGAAGACCGAGTCGTTTGGTGAGGCAGGGCACCGAATTTCCCCGGTGGAGTCAGTTGTCGAAGTCTGACCTCGTCCTGTTGGATCGTGAATTCCCTGGAAGTCAAAGACAAGCAAAAGAGTCTTCTTATTTGTAGGGACCTGAAAGGGAACTTATCTCTAGGAAAGCATTGCCTGGTTTGGCTTAGGATTTTGTATGTACCCTATGGGTGAATCGCCTGGCAGAAAGATGTTTGTTCCTTAAGCGAATCCAGGATTGTTTTTAGACCTCAAACCTTTAAGGCCATCAAAACCCGATGGAAAAGCACGTGACATTTGGGGTGCCGTCGTATACGAATGATGATGGCTTCCGAAAGGAAAGGAAGGGCTTTTTCGGGCCGAACCAAAGATCCACTCACTTCACCTGGGATTACCAGGAGATGGGTGTTGTTTTTGGGGTGTTCTTGAAAAAGCAAGTCTCAAGACACCCACAAACCATCGATAAAGGCCTCGCATATAACTGATCAACACGACCTGCAGGTGATCTATGAGAAGGAAAAGCTGGACGATCTTCCAGAGTGGGCAGAAGCGCACGAAGAACGCCATTTGGAGTCAAAGACTCCCAGATGCTCTTTGTAAAACACATGTTTTCTTGCCTGGGATGTAGCAGCTTGCGGCCCTTTTCGCTGCTGTAGACACATTTGACCCCAAAAGGAAGTCTAGAAGTTTGAAATCAACAGCCCCATGATGTATATCACGTATCACATGCTCTACAGATAGCTGAAGCCCAGGTTGAGACAAGGCAGGAATGTCTAACTTCGAAGAAGTCGGACGCCTGTGCTCCGTTTGCTTTGTGGGTGTGGATCAGAGACCATCGGAACAAGCACCACTCAAAGATGACCTTCAAAGGCTCTTCACCTCTCTCTGGTCACGGCCGACGGCCGAAACGACATCATGACATCATGACTTGTGGGATTTCATGGATAGACTAGATACGACTTCAAGTATGCATACAAAGGTTCGGTTTATAGACTCACAGCCAGAAATTCTTCCACTAAAACGACAAGTTACCAACTGACTTAGGTCCTTTTTGATCCACCCACCGTTACAGGCAGAAATGGAGCAGTGAAGTGTGTGCCAGTGCCAGCCTTCTCATCTGTGTGGGAAAAGTTGTGATGTGCATCGGACCTACTGCGCTGGCGCAGTAAAGTTTCCCCTGATTGCAGGTCTATCCATCAGGGTATTGGTTTGTGGGCCATGCATATGCTAGCATTTGTATTCCAACATCGTTATTGATATTATGTGAAAGGCATTCTGCATCTTAGGTGCTGCAGACTGTTCTACCATTCTGAATTAATTCATATGTTTAATGAAGGTTGGACTCCTGGGAACACAGGGCAGGGCAACACCTTCAGGGTGGTTGACTTTCCCGATTCTACCTTCAATCGTCTTGCACCGTTTTTTGCCTTTTGGAGCGAGGAGTACCATATAGGAACTGGTCAGATGGGTCCCATAGGGACTACGCATGGGGTCCCAACAGGTCTCGGTGCAACGTCTCGCACGTCCCACCGTCCCAGGGTCGACAACGAATCCGTTGGTGGCACCGAGAATGATCGAAGACACGTGACCCTTGGGTGCTTCGAACTATGGCCGTTTGTGAACAGATATGTTTCTTTGACATTCGTATGCAGGTTTAAGAATGCATATCCAAGGTATGGCCAAAATAGACCACATGCAGGCATACATATAAACATGCAGGCATACAAAGCCACGCGATCTGTTTGGAGCGTCTCCCAGTTCGATCTGAGTCATGCTTATAGTTCCTTTTCTACTCTCCCTAGGGCTCCAACCATCTCCTCAGGTTCGGTGGTTAGACCCCCCTGGCACCCACCCCTGTCCCATCTTCGAAACGGAGATAGGCCAGGAGCCCCAAACGAGTCTTTGAGAGACTCAATTGAGCCATGCTGAAAACCTCCCCCCGCGTAAGCTAAAACTGCGGTCGCGTAAGCTCTGCGTAAGCTTTGGCGTAAGCCAGACATTTCCAGGTTATGTCATATCGATGCTGCGTAAGCAAAGCCTGCAATGGCGTAAGGTGGCGTAAGCAGCGGCGTAAGCAACACCCCGGCGTAAGCTGAAACTGCGGTCGCGTAAGCGCGGCGTAAGTTTTCGCGTAAGGCAGTTCTTACGACATAGGAATCTATCAAGGTTTTCAGCATGGCTCAATTGCAGACACCGGGACCCTCCAGTTGTACCGAAGCGATGCGACCACTGGACCACCCTGCCGACGTGTGTCGAACACCAAAAAGCCGACAGAACGTTCGGTACGAGGACGCGGATCCCGAACGGGTTGATCAGTCTCTACCGTTTCATGTTCGAACACCATTCTGAAGATCAACGAAGAAGAAGTCCTTCACGGCCGGCTTCATCTGGTGCAAGCTTAGGAGTATGGTGGACTGATTTGTGGGAGCTGCTTTCCACGTATGAAGCAATTTGTTGTGCCAGCCCGAAGATCAACAGAAGATCAATCGGTTTAGTCGCAAACTCGGTGGTGTTTCCCGCTTTCAATCCCCCAAGACATGCATGACTTTCGGATGAAGGATGAAGAAGCAGTCGACTAAGCAGCATGAGTTGTGGTCTTTTAACCTCCTCGGCGGTGTTCGATCGATCCCGTAGACTCCATGAGACTGCGGACTGCCGATCAGGCCAGGGGTGCCAGGGGGGTCTGGCGCCCCAGGGCGGCAGTCCGTCCTGGCAGTTCCATGGGTCATGTCTGGGTCGACCTTCACAGGAGGCCACGTACTTCGAGATCGTCGAGAAAGCACGTTCGCTGCTCACGGATGATGACTGGTGGGTGGCTGGCGGCCCCAGCGAAGGGCCGTGCAGGTTGCGTTCGTGCAGGTTGCGTTCGAGGCGAGTGGAGCGAGCATGCTGGGAACACCGGTGGTGCAATGTGTATATATACCAGCTTCTTCAAAGTGACCTTTTGAAGGTTCCTATAAGTGACCCTTAGGAGGCTTAAGTGACTTCAAACGAGGTTATCAAGTACGGTCACTTTGACTAATATCTACCCTGGGGGTCTGTGTGGTAGCCGCCTCTTGGCGAAGACGACCGACTTGCCACTCTATGACATCCTATGACCCAAGGATCTACCCTGCAAATCAGCGGGTGTTAGGTTTGGGGACGCCACGTGTTCGAGTTTGCGAGACCTTGGTAGAAGTGGTTACTCCACACTTAGACTGCTAGACCACCCAAAGATACTTGCAAAGTATATAGCAGGTTGAATGGTTCAGAGAAAATCTGAGCGGTATCATATGTTATGCTGATGCAGTCGTGTGTATCACCTTGATTTTTTTCCAGCCAAGAGATTCAACACATGACATGTCTTCAGTCACAAGAACCTATGTTCACATTGTGCGCAGGACATGTTGGATCATGTTTCAATGTTTTGTCCAATCTGGATGTTTGTACAATATAACGCATTATACACTTGTTGGAAGGTTGGGTTCTTTGGGAAGTGAGTAAGCGTCCAAAAGCCGATACCAGTATACTACCTGGTTAAGTGGTTGAAAGCGTTTGGATATATATATATATATACTCTGTAAGTGTTGTGTCACCCTCTCTTCCGGCTAACCAAAGAACCTTGAGAGGACACTGTTGATCTTGCCTGCCTTGGGGCCGGTATGGAGGCAGATCAAAACTTGCACACCGTGCTTGTTGCAGTTGCAGCAGCTTTCGGGGCATCCGGATGCATTGTCACGGCAGAATCCGGCAGGCTGGATGCAACTGGATCCTGCTTCGGGAGTTGACCAGACATAACCAGACCAAGCGGTGTCCCAACAAACACCACCATCATAGACCCGAACTGCCCCCCCGAGGTCAATGCACAACGTGACCCAAGCGTCCCAGCCACCTGACCCAGTCGGAGGCCCCAGGAGCCGTCCTGCATCCGAGAATCGGCCATGGGACTGGCAGTGGTTGGTGAATTGAGGGGATGGCCTCAAGTGTTATATACAACCAGTTGGACCAATAGGAAATACCTGGACCCGACTTCAAGTACCTTAGAAAATGAGACATGACATGACCCTATAAACACCAGGTACTTGTATCCATTGTTCCGAGGTATGAACTGAGACTCCAGGTATATGGAAATATGACATCTGTATACCTGGAACTTCCTCAGAGTCTCTTTTCCGATCTGCGTGAAAAACCATGGTTTGGAGTCTATGTAGTTTCTCATATGTTTTTTCTTTTTTTTCTGATGTTCCGCGGGCGTTTCTACGCAAGCGACTCGGGCGTTTATTGGTGTGTCACAGGCGTTTGTTCCCGAACTTTTTGTTTTAAGCGGAGGTTTATGTCCGTTGCAGATGTTTGTGTGGTTCACCGACCTAAATAATTTGTTGAACTTCCCCATGCAATACATACAACATGTTGCACCATGGTTGCATGTTGCATGGTTGGCAACACTTGCTACAAGCAGTACCTGTCATCGGATGGTACCATCCGATTGCTCTCCTCCTTTAAAAGGATGGTCCAAAGGAGGTGACTCGCAGATGCATCCTCCCAGAGGTGCCGCTGCAGGACATGCGTCCGAGCAAGATGCTCGGATGCGAACCTCAGTGGGCGATGTCTGACGTTTTTTCATGCCACCCTCCATTCACGGTCAATCACGCTCAATCCCTATATAGTGCATTCGACATGTCGTAGATGGCTGCAATGCGCCAGCAGCACTGCACCTGCAGCAGTCGCATGCTGTCGCCGGTCCGCACGCGACGCCGCACCGCGACGCTGCCGGTCCGCATGGGCTCAAGTGACTTCAGTGGTGCCGATGTCGGCGAAAGACCCCGGCGCCGAAAGACCATGGGCACCGTAACCGAACCTTTTGCATATTTGTTCTGGCCCCTCGGAGGCGTAAGTATACAGGGCTAGTTAAAGGGCTATATATATATATGACTTTATATAATTGTGAACCATATCCAACCTTCTATGCAGCTGTTTTTTGTTTGTTCTCTCTATGTTCTATAATTTTCTACTATTGTGATAAACATTATTTAAAGGATGATGAATCCTTACAAACATGAAAGCGTGTTGTTATTTCTTGGACATGCACGGTACTGGAGGAGTAGTGATTTGTGCGAGGAGCTAGAACAGGTTATTGTTCCTGAAGTTTCATGGGTTTTGGTACAAGCAGCGTACATGAAGTATCATGAAATCATGTGAAATAGTTTTTGTGGTGTCACTCTTTCCTTTGAATTACTTTGCACATTGAAGGTCACTTTTTTGCACCCTTTTCTGCTTGCTCCTCAGTCACTTCCTTTGGACTGCATAGAGTCTGATTTTGGGAGCATCACACGAGAACGGGAACAGGTCCGAAGCGATCTTGCGAGTGGTGAACGAGCACCTGTTTCGGGTGTTTCATCTACGTGGTGTCAGAGACATTGGCCGTCGAAGTGTCAGAGACATTGGCAGTTCATCAACCAAAGAAACTGTCTTTGCACACTGCCTGGTTTGTTGGGCCCTCTATGCACCGACTGGTGGTTCTAGGTTGAATGAGGAAGCTTCATACCTTTTTGATAACCTCATTTTCACATGGTCAGATCTGCTGCAATACCACCTTTGCCCAAGAGGACGTGTCACCATTCTTGAAGGATGCCTTCCAGCTTGTATTCGGCTTGTTCGGAACGTGGCTGGTTCCTTGTTGAAAGTATAAGTAGGTCACCTCCAACCACATCCTCAGAAGCTGGTTGGGCTGGATGCCAGCGGGGTCTGACTACCCCCTGAGTTTGTGGTTGGAGCCCTAGGGTTAAAGCAACAACCTCCAAGTGGATCCATTTTCTGTTACAGTGGTTTCAGAGTAGATGGCATTTGGATGGGGGTCCATATATTTATAAACCATCTCTTGGGGTTTGTGCCATCTACTCTCAATCCACTACCAAGTTGGATCTTTATGCAGGGTTCCAGTCCTACCTCCGATTATGACTGGAGGATTCCAAAAACACCCACTCACCCCAGTCCCAGTCCCACTGAAACGGAGGTATGACTGTAGGGCCTTCGCCCAGTAAACCGCGCTGCGCTGTGGTGCTTCCTGAGGTTCTTGGCAGCGATTTGCATTCCTCTCGGAGAAACCCAGATCTGGCAACAGGACCAAGCCGAAGTTCACCAGGACCAAGCCGGGTTTGGCAGCTCCGAAGGTTCTGCTAAAACGAGGGAAACCAGCATTAAAGCTGGTCACTTAGTTGAGGTATTGCTACATGTTACCCTGCCTTCGGGGGAAGACCACAAAAATACTTTGTGGGGTAGCCTAGCTCAACCATATTATAGTCTTTGTGTTCACTTGACACTAAGCGTGTGACATTTCTTTGGTTTTCCCTCCTAAGACTTCTCTTGAAGGATGATTTTGTGCTTCCGGAGCTGCGGCTGCTACAAGTCTCGAAGAGTGTACATCGAAGTCCTATTGAATCGAGACCAGAACTCTGGAAGAGAGCATCGAGTTGGAACAACCTGAGCCACTTGGAACGATCCTATCCTATCTTCCCCCAAATTCGGCTGCCAACCTCCCTGCGCTTCCGACTGCGAGTCAGTCAGTCCAAGCGAAACAAAACACCGAAACACCGCCTTGGCCATGGGCACCCTAAGCATGGGGAAAAGAAAGGAACAACCCCTGAGTCTTCCAAGACCATTGAAAATAAAGGGTGACTCGGTGTTTCTTAGTATAAAATCCAAATAAAATAATAGTTTTTCGGAAAAGGACATGAAATCAATGGTGGGCCAGGAAGCCTAGGGCAACAGTGTCGGTGAGATTCTTCGTTTTACCACCTCATATATTATAGGAGGTCGATGAGTAGTCGTTTGGTCGAGCAAGTGGCAGTGTTGCCATCTAACCTGTACCTTATCGCATACCCTAGGGCTCTAACCACATCTGAAGGTGGGTAGACCCCCTGGCGCCCACCCCAACCACGTTCCGAGGATGTGGTTGAAGCCCCAGGGTCAACAAGGAATTTGGCAACAAGGAATTTTGTATAGTTCCAAGTATTGAGGATATTTTATGGATGGCCCGTGTAAAGGAATTGTTGTTTTTAGGAGGATTGATTTTTCAGATTTGTTTTTTGCTGCTTTTGCTCTTGATTTGTTGGTTGTTTTGTTTCAGCTTTTGGTGCTTGCTTTTGCTTTTGCTGCCTTTGCTATTTAGTTGTTTATTGCTTTTGTTTCTCTTGTTCCTTTTCTGCTTTTGTTGCTTCTATGGCTGTTTGTTACTCTCCGTCATAGTACTTTGAACATGGTGTATGTTTGTGTGGCATTTGTTGCTTTGTCCTTTTGTTGGCTTTGCTTCGCTCTGTTGGTCATGGCAGCGTTGGTCATGTCGCATGTGCCCTACGTGACCTGCCCTGCGTTCCACATCGCCCGATCATCGCCTCTACGGCGCGGCACCTGCCACGAAGACTTCGTTTCGTCAACCACGCGGCGCACTGCACTGGCAACCAACTTCTTCCAGTGTACGACAGCCCAGAAGTCATCAGCTGTTTCTTCAGTGTCAGCCCTGTTGCGGAATCGTTGCATTTCCTCTTCAAGGAAAGTCAAGCTGCTGTAAATGGTAGCGAACTGTGAGCCTCAAGGAGTTTTAAAGGAGAACATGTACATAGTCGTTTACTTATATCGAACATGAACACACAATTGCATAGCCGCACCCATATGTCATGGCCATGGCCAAGATGAACGACCTGATCCCATGACCACATCGTGGCCTGAATTCCCAGTCTGGGTGTTGAGCGGTTGTTACTAGCTTCTTGTTACTAGTAATGCCCTTGTCACTAGTAGTGATGCACTTGTTACTAGTAGTGATGCACTTGTTACTAGTAGCTTCTTCCAGGGGCCCCACAAACCATCAAACACCTGGTTTTCTCTACCCAGTGGGTCAACGCACCAGTTTAACCACTTCTTTAGTAACGCACCAGTTTAACGGGTGCTTTAGCAAAACTGGGGCTGGAAGCTTAAAAAGGCCGTGAAAAGGACGTGAAAAGCCCGTGAAAACAGGGTGAAAGGCCGTGAAAAACCTGTGAAAATTAGGTCTTGGAAGTTGGGAGGTGAAATGCGTCCTTTATGCTAACGCACCAGTTTAACCCGTCCTTTGGACTTGCTGGGCTAGCAAAAAACGTGGTTTTTGTATGTGAAAACCGTTTTTTTTTCATGGTTTTGAGGGCCCCTGGTTTTAGTGCCCCTGGTTGTTACTAGTGAGTTCCCACAAGTCTGTCTTCGCGCCGCCCAAGTTCGCTACGTTTGAGGCGACATTCTACGAGACGAGCCAGCAGGTGCCTTTCATTCACACCTGGATGTGCTGGCCCAGGCTATTGGCATTCTTTACGAGTCGGCGCCCCCGCAAGGAAGAACTGGCGCCAACACGACCTCAAACCTCATGGGTTCGGCGGCTGGGCGAGGAACAAAAGGGAACCTTGAGAAGGAAGGAACGCCTTTACAGGCTATTCAGATTCGCATCTAGAAGCTAAACACAGTTGTGAACACAGTATGTTGTTCTTTTCAGGTTCAACAAAACTATAATACTCTAGGACTGGGAAGCCAATGAAACCTCAAACTGTAGTCTGATTCTTTGGGGAATAGTTTATGCCATGGAAACTCATAGGATATTTCAATACAAAGCATTGTTGTAGTTGCAATGCAGTTGCGGCTGCTTTGCCAAGACAATAACCAAAAAGCATAAAACCATGGTCTATTCCCCAAGGACAGCCACTGGGAGCACCTGGTGCACTTTGATCGTGCTCCTGTGCCGGGCGGCGTTTTCGCACGCGCATGGAGGGAGGTAGGACGCTCTCAGATTCTGGTGGCCTACAAGGGTGTGTGCACTGATCCAAAGGCGAGGTCAGACGGTTCGGACCAAAAGACTATCCGAAGTAGTCTGGAAAATGCGAAAAAACAAAAGGAAAACAGATGGTCTATTTGGAAGAACTATGCCAAAACCTTCACGGCTCTGGGAAGTGTAAACTTGCATCAATCCCTGTTGTAGACCAGAGCTTTGATCCTGCATGGATTCAACAAGGTGTTTGCTTGTCAGTCTTGCTCGATGCATTCTTCCTCGACAGCAGATTGATCAATTCCTGTAGTGCCCTGCAGGTTGAGCAGTGCAAGATCGATCTTTGCTTCTTGGGTCAATATGCCTGGCTTTGCTTAAGGTGTTTGAATAAAAAACACTATGGGTGAAGCTCCCTTCTGGAGTGTGTGCTTGTTTTGTATTTTCTTTTTTAATACGGCTCCTTAAGCAAGTCCAAGTATGGAAGGTGTGGGCGTTGCCGCCCGATGTGACCAACACGGCTCTGAAATTATGAGGATAAGTACAGCCAATGTGCCCGTGGTGTCCTTCCAAGATGTGTCTGGTGGCCAAAGTGACATGGCACCGGAGCCCGTTTCACTCACCAACCTCCATTGACCTCCCTGAAATCTCTCGGTCTTTGTTCGGTGAGAAAAAACCAGGGTGACCAACTCGCGCCGTGACCAACTGCCGTGACCCACATCCATCTTCATCAGTTCGCAGCTCCCCGAAACCATCGCTGAGACCTTGAGACCCGAAGGAGGCCGTATCCCCGAGCTTTCGTGCCCTACGTTGGGGCACGAAAGACCAACCCCAAGGTTTTGGGAGGTGAACCCTTGGGGTTCCAAGCTTTGAAAGGCCAAAGAGGGGTAGAAAGAAGGATTAAAGAGCACGTCGATTGGAGCAAAGCGCCAAGCTGTTGACAGGACCAGAGTTTGGTAGAGTTCTAATCTATTGGACTGTGATCTTGCCAGATGAAGTGGACCCCCTTCAGAACCGGATGACAGCAGTATGCAGCTATACATTCCAGCAGCCTACTACTGGAGCTACCAGCACCAGGGGCGCTCCCCCCAACTCCCAGACTTCGAACACATCTTCTGAACTTGAAGCGGCTCTTGGCACTTGCTTGCTCTCCTGACAGGATCGACCATGTCAAGTGGATCTGTTGCAACAACTATGCGGCCATTGGATCATTGGAATCCACCGTTGGATCGTGATGGGAAGGTATACGGAGCCCTTGAAACATGACACAGGTTGTAGTTTTCCACATGTTCCACACCTATGTTTTGCACCAGTTTTGTTGTGTCATGCCCGGTCATGCCTGCACGTTTCCGAGGTCAGTTCTTTGCCCAGGCCCTATACCCTATAGTAGGTCATGAGTTCCGTTATGACGTGCCACTAAGGTTACCTCAATGAGATTGAGAACCTTGGTTTTGCTGTTTTTCTGTTGACAGTTCCCGATTGTTTGGGTGAATCCATTTTTTGGAATCCCCCCCAACAAAAAGGTGTGGGAGAAAACCAAAGGACGGAATCCACGTATTTTGCCAAGCCAAAGTCCCAGGAACTACGGCTCAGTGTCTGCCAACGTCTCAAGGCTCATGGGTTTTGACGTGAAGCCACTGGGCTTTTTGCCGTCGTTCCGCGCTTCGGTGTCTCACCACCAAAGCGACGAGCTGTTTTCGCTGGGTGTATGTTCTTTTTGGCGTCGCATGGCACCCTGCTTGGACCCGGCGTTTCGTTTCACATCGCTTTGGCACTCAGAACAGGAGCCTGGAAAGCCGTAGCTTCGCTGGGACTGGAGTGGGTACCTCGGGAACACCTGATCCACCGGACTGACCTGGTTCTAGATCCTCCTGGACCCTCCTGGCACCTTTCATGATGAACAAGTGTCAAACACATCACCGTGCCGACCTGGTTCGGTGGCAGTGGATCCGTAGGGAATGTGTCAAAATTCCTGAGGAGAAATGACTGGAGTGGAACCCTAAGGTGGAGCCGTGCACGAAAAGCGAAGTCATCGGTGCATCGGGCGTGAAGAGAGAAAGCGAAGCGTTGCTCTTGGCCGTCCTAAGGACTTGTTCCAAGTATCAAGCTCTTCTCAATTTCACAGATCAGGCGATGGCCTTGGTTCAGGACCTGCAAAAGGCATATCCCAGGCGAGAGAGGGTGGAGGTAGAAAGATAGAGAAAGAGAGAGAGGCAGATGTGTGTGTGTGTGTAGGCGTGTGATAGCGTGTGTAGGATTCAAAGCCGCCTTTGCGCGTTAGTTTGCGCCATTTTGTGTTGTTGTGGTTGTTGGTTGTTGGCTGTTCGTTGATGGTTGTTGGTTGATGGTTGTTGGTTGTGGTTGTTGTCGTTGCTTTGCATTGTTTTTTTTTGTTGTTGTTGTTGTTGTTGGTGGTGGTGGTGGTGGTGGTGGTGGTGGTGGTGGTGGTGGTGGTGGTG